GGGAATTCCGGGCAGATTTTTCCAGACCCCTAAGTGATAACAGCTGGTCTTGGCAGTACATTTAAATGGCACAGGGAAGTTAGCAGAAAGGCTCCCTGTCATGAAACATCCAACAAAGGACTAACAGACACATTGAGGAAGCCAGCTCCTGGTCAGGGAAAATGCTTCTTGGGGTCTTTTTGGAAACTCCTGCCTGCCAGCTGTTAATGGATGGGGCTGAACTGCAGTCTGAATGTTAATGAGACTATTATGAACAGCACTTCATCTTGTGACATAGGTGGATTTAATGGAGTTGAAAGGTTTCCTAGAGTAAATTTTGAAATGTCCTAATAATGCAATAAAGACTCCATTAGTATATTTATTAATTGCCGTGCAGCCACATTTCAGCAAGGCTGTTTCAGCAACCCAGAATGTGAATCTCCCGGCAGAAGAAGTTTGTATGGACACCTGAAAATGAGAAAGTGCGAATCCATGTCACAGCCAAAGGATCTCCTCGTGGTTCTGGTGAACTGCTATAGCAAAATATCATCCCCAAATTTAGCTTGCAACATTTTGTTGGAGCAGAACAAATCAGAGGGTGGAAGCCCGCACTATCCTGCACAGACACGTGGAATTCAGGCCACTGCAGCATGACCTTGTGGAAGTCCTTAACATGATGCTCCTTATCACATCTTGCACCTCTTTTACTTTGTGGTGTATCTAGCCTTGATGCCCATCAGAAGCTCCAGGGACTTATCATCCAAATCCCTCAAAACACCTGATCCAGCTAATCTGTCACCGATACAGTTTTGGAGCAGGCTGAGGCCCCCTTTCATGTAGGTTTGAAGGTTAGGGACATATCTCACAGCTCCCTCAGCATACCCAATAGCTTCTCTTGGCTATTTTGATGAGGCCTTTGCCTCTACTATGAATTCTCCAGCAAAAGTGACAGTCATGTCAGCTTCTACAGTGCCTGCTTTTATAACTGACTATGACATGGACCAATTCTTATTCGTTGCACACGTGGGCTCAGATCCTTTAAAGTTCAGGTCAGTCTCAAGGCTCAGATGAATCCTTTTGTCTCAGGATTGATGCTGTCCTTTTGACTCTGTTGGTCAGAGGCCTCTTTTATCTTAGATGCTCTTGCCAGGTTTCCATGAAGATTGTGCAGAGGAGATAGGGACTGGTTTTACAACACTGTCAGATAGAGGACATCTTTCTTTGTCTTTCAGCTTACGGTTTGGGCTAACAGGTGTGAATGACTGCAGGCTTTCTGTTTCTGTTTGCTGGAGTAAAGCTTTTGAACTCTTTCCTCTCCTAGGAACTAGCACACTCAGAGGTGAGGAAAACAGGGTGTGCAATTAACATAAAATTCTGGCACAATATCATGATCAGTATCACCTGGGGTTTCTTTTCTGTGCTTGTCACCTCTGTCTCTTATTGAAAGCCTTCTGTGCACAGAATATGTATGTTGCCAAGCTGTAATCCACATCTAACTCATAAAAACAAAGCTCACAACTTTTCACTGGCAAGGAGAATGTGATCTTTCTTACCTCCTCTGAAACCTCCAGATGAGCAACTTGCTGTGAAAGGACCTGCATGGATCTGTAGGGGACACTCTCCTTCATGCCAGTTGGCTCATTAGTCATTTTAAAGTAGGGTTTGAAAGTCTATTTCACTGGGAAAAGGGGACTAAATAGTCTCCTTCAACCTAGTTTCACTCCAAGCTCTCAGCTGTATTGTAATTACCTTTACTATCTGCAGCAATGAAAAGCATCTTCAGTCAAAATAAGAAATAATACTTCTTCTATAGTACTTTCTATGCAAGACTCTTAATATCCCTGACTTATCATATCATCCTACTGACTATTGCCTTCCTTCTGCTGTTGGAAGAGCTGACTCAAGGAGCTGCGGAGCAGTTTGTCTCCACTGAAAAAATACAGTGGTGGGACACACAGTCTCCATCTTGCTGGCCCTGACTCACATCCCATTTCTACTCACTCATGCTGTCCCATCTGAAGACACCATGAAAGAGACCATATGGCATTAGCCCCATTTTGTGGCAAGCATGTCCCACTAAGTAATTCCAGATCTCGTCAGAGGTCTAGCAAGAATCTGCTATAACCAGAAGAAAAAGAGCTGCATTTTGGTCTTCTAACATGAAAAATTGTAGGGTCATTTCCTCCTTTCTTTGCAGCAAAGAAGAAATTGCTCTGAAGATGGAAAGGGGCCTATTCGTATCATCTGGACCAGACCCTGACTCATATGGCATCGTGAAGCCATATAACCATGAACTTCAACATCATTACAGGAGGGTATCATTAAAGAAAAAGGTCCTGGCATCCACACAACTCTGAGAAACAAAAGGAACAATGATAGATTTAGGAATCTCTGTTTTACACACTCCCCCAGGAGTAAATCACAGGAGTCTTGGCAGGCATCATGAGAGAAACTATCAGCTTCCTGATGTTTGTTGTAAGTGACCAGAGAAGTGCATAAAACTACAAATAAAGCCATTTGTTTTGCTAAATCAGTCATGAACCTAGTGGTTTTTCTAGAAAATACAAAAAATAGAAATTAATTTGTAAGCCTTTGTTTAGGCCACAGCAAAACCATCCAGAGGGACCTTGACACGCTTGTGAGGTGGGATGATGCCAACCTCATGAAGTTTAACCATGACAAGTGCAAGGTCCTACACCTGGGTCGGAGCAATCCCAGGCACAGCTACAGGTTGGGCAGAGAAGAGATTCAGAGCAGCCCTGTGGAGAAGGACTTGGGGGTGTTGGTCAATGAGAAAATGAACATGAGCCGGCTTCAGTGTGCACTTGCAGCCCAGAAAGCCAACCGTATCCTGGGCTGCATCAAAAGGAGCGTGACCAGCAGGTTGAAGGAGGTGATCCTGCCCCTCTGCTCTGCTCTTGTGAGACCTCACCTGGAGTATTGTGTGCAGTTCTGGTGTCCTCAACATAAAAAGGACATGGAACTGTTGGAACAAGTCCAGAGGAGGCCACGAGGATGATCAGGGGACTGGAGCACCTCCTGTATGAAGATAGGCTGAGAAGGGTGGGGCTGTTCAGCCTGGAGAAGAGAAGCTGTGTGGAGACCTCATAGCAGCCTTCCAGTATCTGAAGGGGGCCTATAGGGATGCTGGGGAGGGACTCTTCATTAGGGACTGTAGTGACAGGACAAGGGGTAACAGGTTAAAACTTAAACAGGGGAAGTTTAGGTTGGATATAAGAAGGAAATTCTTTCCTGTGAGGGTGGTGAGGCACTGGAATAGGTTGCCCAGGGTGGTTGTGAATGCTGCATCCCTGGCAGTGTTCAAGGCCAGGTTGGACGAGGCCTTGGGTGATATGATTTAGCGTAAGGTGTCCCTGCCTGTGGCAGGGGGGTTGGAACTTGATGATCTTAAGGTCCTTTCCAAACCTAACGATTCTATGATTCTATGAAAACACTGAAGAATGCTGGTTGAAATAATTAATCTCAATTTACACAGTCATTCCTTTTATTTCTGAAGGCTAATGGAGTCAAAACATGCTTTCCAGACCTTTGCTAATGACAGAGTCAAAAATAATGTTCGGGGACCCTTATGTTACTCTTATAATGAGGAAAGCAACACAAAATGATAGGGAAGCGAGTCCTCAACAATCACTTGTTCTTTATCTAAAAGGCAAATGGAGCATTCAGATGAGTTCTTTAGGTTAATGGAGCCACAAATAAGGTTTTGGAGCAGGGATTTTTCACAGATAATGCAAAACGGGCAGTACCTTCTCTGGGGGACAGAAATATTTCTGGAGACTGGGATTTCACTGGCACAGAGAGGCAGCCTAAAAGCCAACACTGCAAGTGTAAGCCAAATCCATCCTCTATTTCCCATCCTCCCCAGGTCTTCATATGCAGTCCTCTGGGGTGTAGAGGCACCACATGCCCAGCGTGGGTTTTGGGTACTGGAGCAGTGCAGAAAGGTCACAGGCAATGTGGGTCCCAAACCAGGATCAGCAAAGGGGCCACAGTGAATTTGAAGATTACTCCTCACCCACCTGTCAACTGAACCTCACATTCCCCTGCCATGCACTTTTCTGACCCCTATTCTATACCCTTGCCTGAAGCACAAATGGTGGAACCCACTCAATCCGCACAAGACCCCCAGCAAGATGCAATGACCTAGTGACACCCACTCCACTGCTGTTTGCTGAGGGTCATCAGTTTGGACAAACCAAGCTCAGGAAGCCACTCAAAGGAGCCCCAGGCAGCTGCTCAGGCAGTTTTACCCAAGGCCAGAAGACAGAGAAAGTCATCCACAAGATGTTCAGCTTTAGAGGGAAGGGGCAGAGCGTGGAAAGTCCCTCAAGCTCTTTGCTGCTGGTCAGATGTGGCTTGTTTGACATCTGCTACAGACAACTGGAAGGGGAAGTGAGAGCCTGGAAAGACTTCTTCCCTGCAAGGTCCTTCTTCCTAAAGGAGATTTGTACCTGCTGCTTTCTCACAGGGTGGTGAAAGCAGAAGCAGCAGAGCAGAACACCCATAACCTCAGGACAGCAGTTTAGGTCCAGGTCTGAAGAAGCTTAGGCAGGATCTCTGCCATACAGTCCTAAGTCATTGTTCTCTCTGTAGAAATATAGGAGGGAATACGAGTCCTTCGTTCACTCATAGGAAAGCCTTCCCTGCAAAGGGAGGATCCTCTTAGTCCTTCTCAGGCTGAAGGGTTAGATGGTTTAAAAAAATCCGTACCCTATCACTGATTATTCAGAAGTTGGAGGCCATACATAATCCACCAAATAAGTTAAGAGAGATGCATAATTAGTACAATTAAGAGTATCTCATTCCTTTCAATATGAGACCATCACAGGGGAAAAAAAATTTCTAGTGACCGCTATGATATTTATAATTCAGTACATATCATAAAACAGTCTCCTAGAGAGAAAGAGATAATAGTTCACAGATATGTTTGGGTTTTATTAAAGCCTGCTCAGCAGTTACGTATTAGAAAAAGAAATTTAAACCCATTGATCTGTCAGGGTTAATGACAAGAGAAACAAATTTGGTAAGTAGGTTCAATTCTCAAGTCCTTATCTTAATAGTGTTAACTTTTCTTAGGCTGTGATCTCGTCAACTCCCACAAGCCTAGTGGCAGGAGCTTTGTTAATGTGTTCAGTGGAAGCCCATAAGCATGTAAAGAAGTACCTTGAAGTGATAGAGGAAAGCTGCCTAAACCTGGAAGTCAAGACTTGAGCCCAGTACCCTAGCTGACATTTGCTTGGTGCATCCATCTGTAAAAAGAAATGTGGAGACAACGTACTCAAAATCTTTGACCATAAAAGATTCCGCAAAAGTTTGTGGGTTTGTGTTAGGGTAAGTGATGTTTTGTTCTGGGGGGGGAAAAACGCTTCTTAGAGCATCTGTCAATGGATCCATGTTCGTATGTGCAACTTCTTCCTGAAATTTTTTGCCTTTGACTTGAGATGCTGGATGAAATCAAGATATTCCTAATATTTAAATGGAAATAGATTCCTCTTCTGTTGTCTTTACATCATTCTATAGAAATATGAGTCTTTGATGCTGTAGAGCAAGCATGAGCTGGAGAAATTCTGCTATTATGTCTTTCTGTCCCTACCCTGACCAAGACAGTATGAGATGCTAATCACCCTTCAATCCTCCCAGCAAGAAGACTGGCTCTTGAGAGTCTATTAATGAAGACCCATCTGCAGGAAGCTGGGCTTGTGGCTTGGACAGATGGTACAAGAATACCCAGATAATGAACTGGGAAGGGCAGTTGTCCAAGAAAGTACTTCAAGTAACTTTAAATGCATATTTGACTAGGTGTAATTTATCAGCCAGTGCACGAATCTTTAGTCACAAGCATCGCATCAAGCTCAGGGAAGATATAAGCCACTTTAATCAGCTTGCCCCCGGGCAGGAAAAGCACACAAAGAGAAGGAAGAGTATCATGACTAGCAGAGTGACAAGTGCTGAGCATAGAGTAGGTCTCAACAGTCACCTACACACCCACCAAGTCTGATTCACTTATTGCTGGTACAACACTGTCACCCTTACCTGTAAGAGACTAACACTAACATACGCAACAAACTAAAAACAGTCTGTGCTGGCAAAAGCCATTGGCAAAACAGTCAGTGATGAGATCCAAACGTATTAACCTCATGCAACAGATATTTCAAGAGGAAAAAAAAGGAAAAAAAATAATCCTGTGTTAGGGCTGCCATGAGTGAGTCGACCAGATTGGAAGAGTTCCTTGGTCCTGCAATCAGGTGAATGATTTAGCATCTGGCAACATTAAAACCCATCTTATTGAAACGGAAAATGCAGACTGCACCATCCTATCTCTCTGTGTAACCACTCTGTCCCCATCATTACTGGCTACTCCATCAGTTTGTGTGTCATCTTCAGATTTTATCAGCAGCAGTTTTATGTTTATTTCCAGACCACTGATACAGAAATTTAAACAACACTGGACACAGACTATTTTATAAAAACCTCTCTCCCATCAGTCAGCATCCCCTACATCTTTTGACTCGAGGCAAAATACTGCACTGGGCCATGGTGAACACATTGCAAAAGCATATTATCTCTCTGCGGTCACTGTCAAGAGCTGAATTTGTAATCTCATACAAAATGTAAGCTGAACAGTTCTTCTGTTTACCTCAGTCTGCCTCCTTGAAAGCTATGTTGCCTGATATTAATTGTATTTTTAGTTAGCAACTGAATCTCATATTTGCCTATGCACTATTTTGCCAGATACTGGCTTCAAGTTGGTCAGTTTATAATTACCTTAATTGTTCCTCATACCCCTCTGAAGTACTTGCAAAACCCAGGAAGTCTGCAATCGCCTGCAATATTGCCAGCGCTCCCAGGTTCATTAAAACCAGATGTTTCCTGCGCCAACCCTCTCAAGACTCTTGGGTATATGTTATCCTAATAGATAATATTTAGCAGACTCTGGTTACTTCTTCTTGGAAGTAATCACCCTTATCTAAGCCTGTATGCTGCAGCTTTTAAAATACAGAATGGGAATCATGACATAATGTCTTCAACTCCCTGGCTTTGTTATCTTTAATTATCTTTGCCTGATAATGCCAGCATTCCTACTGTTCTCAAACCTACATTGTCTTTACCTCCTCTCACTAATCTGGAGGGTTTAGGTGCTGTGTTTAGCTATCCCCTGCTCCACCAACCTCTTTTCTGCTCTACCTTTCTGACACTGAAGGTGTTTTGTGGATGAGGAACAGCAAGCAAGTGCTGGAGGAGTTTCCCAACAACTGACTAGGGATTCAGAGGCTTTCTGCAACTCACATACAGGTTAAAAGGCCAAAACCCCTACCTGCAAAGAAGGGGAAAATGCATAAGGAGAAAAATTATCTCCAATCCTCAGGGTCTCCATGCTATTGTACAGGGCTTCTCTTCATCTAAAAAAAGATCAGGAAAATAAGTTAATAGTTGGCACAGAGCCCGGAGATAGGGACAGAAGTCATGTCTATAAACTATTCACTTTGAGTCTTTTTCCCATTCATTCCATTTTTTTTTCCAAATTACCTGCCCCATGTTGTCTTCACTGCCCCACACACAACTGAACTAAAAGCTTTGCACTCAGACTACAAGGAGAAGCTTGTTACAGTGCTAACACATTCACTGCACACACAACTGCATTCTAATAACTATGGTGGTGGAGAGAAATCCTCTTAAATCAAAAAAATACTGCAACGAATAATGAGAATGTTCAACAAAACTCTCTGAAGCAAACGGGGAAATAGAAAGATTGTTTGACCTTTTAATACTGTAAATATATCTGTGGTGCCCAAGGAACTGCTGCATCCCACAGCCTCCTGAACAAATACCTGATGCCTCTAATAACTCTGTTTTCCTGCATATCTCTGTAACAGACACATGGCTCCTGTTAGCAGCAGGACAAGACAGTTGGGAAAATACAGGCAATATTTCCCAGGTGTTTGGGTTCTGTTTGGTTTCGGCTTTTTTTGGTTTTGTTTCATTTTGTTTTTTTCATCAAGGAACTATGTCCATTGCATAGGCTGGATCACTAGCAGCATCCATTTCTTCTCAATTGAGTCAGGCAATAGCAGAATACTGGGGATCGATGTGTACAGGCAACCAAGGGCTACTTTATTAGTCATGACAGCCTGAAGAACCAGCTGCAATAGAACATGTCCCACTGGACAAGCCACACTTCACTGGGAAAAACAGGATGAACAGCCTGAGCTTAGAGATTCTGTAGTCCTGAGGAAGCTCTGCAGGTCAGAGTGGGATTCTGATGAGTGCCTGAAGCAATGGTATCTCTGCCTCCTCAAGTATCTCCCGTGGCTGACAACAGAAGAGCCTCCATAGGCTTTGGGTTCACCCCACATGGAAGTGGTTATAGAAAGAAGGCTCCTCATTGTCTGACTTTTGGGGTGAGCCTATACACTCCCCAAAGCATTTTCTAGGAGCTTCCAAACAGCAGTGAGGGGACAAAGAATAAACCTGTGTGCTTCATGTGACCACTCACAGGGCAAAGACCATGAAGTTAATTCTCTGCTAATTATCTCCCAAACTGGAGCTGTGAAGCTCCTTTGCTCTACAACAGAGCAAATTTGCTGGGCACTGAAAGATTTACTGGATTTCTGGAAGCTGAGATGTTATCTGCACAGAGCTGCAATGTGCCAGGAAACCTCACCAGCTCTTTAAAAGGCACCAAGGCACAGCCCCAGGTCAGGTTTCCAAAACACTTCAGTTCCCACTGTGTTAGGTCTGTGAAACTCTAGTCCCAGGTATGAGTACTGATCTGTTTGAAAAATCAAGCCATAAGCTCTTGAAAACTCTTTTCTCATGTTCTTCCAATTACTACTGCTCTCATTTAAAAGCCTGCTAGTGTTGGAGGGTGGTGTGATCAGCACAGTAAGAGAAACAGGGTTTTGGAGTCTGCAGAGCTATCTCTGGCTGGAAAGTTTTAGCCGTTCTTCCTTGAAAGTAGCATTAAGAATGGGAAGAAAATAGTAACAGGGTGTTTAAAATGATACCCAGAAAAAACAGAACTGTTTCACTAATCTCTCACAATTCTCTGGCCATGTCAAAGGAAAAGCCATGACTTACTCACTGCCAAAACACTTTTGAGAAAGTATCACAAAAAAGAGAAGCTAGAGGAATTAAGATAGCAGAGGAGAGAGGGAGATATGTGTGTGTAAGTTATTATTTGGATGGAACTTTAACAAATGCAAAAGAAGTGAACGGCCTATTTTCACCCTGGCAAACACCATGTGCCTCAAGGCTCCACCCTGGCTTTTGCACTGTTTAATTCATTTGTGTTTATGAATTATCTAGAGAGGGATGGAACTGAAATAGCAAAAAATACACCAGCCACAAATTTTTAGGTGGGTCAGTAGCATGAATGATTCAGATGATGTTCAGGAAGATCTTAGGCAACCAGATGACTGGTCCAAGTAATCAAGCATTGGAAAAGGGGGGAAAAATGCTGCTAAGGTTCCTCATTGCTGCACAGCGCATCCCCACAGCAGGCACATGCCCAGTGCCTCTGGCACAGAATAACACCATGGATCTGAGCAGCAATTGCCCTGGTCCCACTCTGGGACAGGCTGTGCCCCACAGCAGGGCAACACCTCCCCTGGCTCTCAGCATGGGGCTCTGCTAGTTCGTATAGGCAGCCGGTCCTCCTCTGCCTTCTCCTGACCACTGCACACAAATACACACATAGGACTCTCAGGTCTTCCTTGGCCTCTGTCTCAGTGAGGAGCAGGAAAGCAGAGGACTGAGGATGCAACAGGAAAGAGAAAGAGGCTGTGATGTTACAAGGATGTTATAAGGAGGAGGAGAAGAAAGGACAAGAAGAAAAAATGGTCAAGAGATGGGGCTAGGGAGAGAATGCTGCACTGCAGGTGGTACAGAGATATAATGGAGGTGACACAAATAAGTAGTCCAAGTCATTGTTGTAGATACATTCCTGCAGATTCAGTATGTGCACGAAAGATGGCAGGGAGCCAGAATTATTTAGAAATGAAACACTTAAAAATGTTTAAGCTATTCTACATAAACACTACAGACCCAGCTGAAATCCTACACATAACATCTCTTCACAGGCTCTGAAAACTCCCTCAGAGATGCTGCACAAGTTAAACAGGGTTATGAGAAGCAACAGAGATTAAAAAAAAAAAACAGTAAGAATTGCTGTTAAAGCAAGATATTAAGAAGACATCCTAAGGAAAGAACAGAAGACAAGGCTAGGGTTTGGGTTTAAAAGTACAACAATAAAAGAGCTACAGATGAAGTGGGAAGGAAAAGGGATGCCAAAGGAACAGGGTGCTGCAAACGCATTCTGCACTGACAGCTCCTCCACCTCCAGGATGCCTGAGGATCTTGGGTAAGGCTCTGCAGACAAAAAGAGCAAGTGAAAGGCTTAGGGTTAGTGTCGAGAGAGAGACAAAAACTACTGCTCCAGTTGGAGTAGGGTAGGAAAGGGGCTGCCAAAAGATAGATTGTCTGCCAAAATAGCTCTCCTATGGGAGCTCGCTCATCCTAGCCAGTACTGGGAAAGCTTGGACAAAAGTCAGCCAAGGTCAGCAATTTGGACTGGTGTGGATTTGGGGTTTATGTTGGGAGAAGTGCAAAGCCTATCTCCCTATTTTTGAGTGGGGCTGGAAGAAGGCTGCCAAACCAGTGTTTAAGCTGCTGAAAGAATTCATCCTCTGATGCATTTTGTACAAGGATGTGATGAAGAAATATGTAATCTTTAGAGTATACTCACTTTATCCCTGCTCTTTACTTCATAACATCAGGAAATGAGACATGCAGTAAAAAAAAAAAAATAATTACAGGGAAATAACCACAGACAAAAAGAAATATTAAATACCTTTTGCAAACAGGTTTTTAAGCCTACGTATGCATTGCTGTAGTAGACCAAGGACACTGGATGATTCAAAATGAAAATATATTTGTCTGTTGATAACATTAACTTCCAGAGTCATGGGAGTTAATGGTAACAACAATTTTTAGAGTATATTAAATGGCATTCTTCAGGGCTTAATCCAGCCCCTAACTATTTAGGGATCAGGATGACATCTAATGGGTCTTGAGAACAAGGTTGAAAGAATTGATTATCCTGCATCTGCCTGCTGTGAGGTTGTTATATCTTCCTCTGAAGCATGTAGCACTGGCCAGGGTCAGAGGCAGGATGCTGGACAAGAAGGAACCCTGGATTAGCTTGTCTATACTCCCTCTGCTCTGCCTTGGCTGCAAGCTATGCAAGGTTTTATGTCTGTAATCCACAGCTCTCCTTGAGGAACACACAGGGCCTCTGAAATGCTAAACAGCCCAGGGAAAGAAGCTTACCTGAAGCCATGAGTAAACCCAGCAGTCAAACCTTTGGCACAGAGTTTGGCTTCTTCCTCTTCTAAATCGCTCAAGGTTTGGATGTCTTTGTTTTCAGCTCTGTATCTGAAAGATAAAGGAATTAGCAGGATTTTTTTAATCTTTGTGTTCTCCCAGATAAGTGTATTAGAGGAATTTTGTAGGCTATGGACATATTTATTTTGAATTAAAGCTGCACCATACTGTGTGTTATTGTATCCTAGCGTAGGGCACAGCTGAGCCATGTAGTCTTCTATACCTGACTGCAGAAACATCATTTCTTTTGCCCAGCCCTGGATATCTGTTGTGACACAGAGCACATGGAGTCCAAAAGGTCTCCTTAAATATATTTTTTATTTTTAAAATGTAATAGAAAAATTGATTTTGGATTTCAAACAGCGAAGAAATAAAGCGTAACCTAGGGCATTATGGAGTCAGTGTGCCCAGTTATTGACAGAGACCAATAATTATATTCCTGTATAACTTTCTTTTAGTGAATACAAGAGAATCTCAACTGGCTTTACCTGAGCTCTCTCCAGCCACTTTCTTCCAATTTAACCAGAGGGAAGGTTGCTGCTACAATCTAGAATAAAGAAGAAAATAGAAAATGCGATAGACAATTAACAGGCAGACATGCTTCCTCATTGTCAGCAGAGTTGTTGCTGGTGTCTGCAAAAGAAAATACAGTTTTCAGAAAAGATCAAGCCCAGAACACACTCTAAATCTCACAGGCAAAGATCTGTGAACAAAATGAACTTATTTCTTGGGTGCGGTGCTCCTTTACCCAGACAGAGAGATATAGGGGAAGGTGGGAAGCACAGTATGAACCCTTCCCATCTCAGTATCTATGAGCCACTCTGATTCCTCCTCATGGCCATGTGAAGCCCTCCCTGAACACAGCAGCCCACCAAGCAGCATAGATCCAGCACCACCTAAGTCCTTTCTTAAATACATGCTAGCAACCCTATCATTGCCTTCAGCAAATCTCCTTCACTCTTAGCCCTGGCCCAGTCAACGCTCAGGGACATGCAGTTTCATTAACCCTATGTTAACCAGGGCTGCATTCAAGTACACCATCCTGAGAAGTACTGCCATTGTCTCAGGTTCTATCAACTCAGTTTCTCCTGCCACTCTTTTTTTTTCCCTCCTGCCTTCAGCAGGCTCTTTAGATTCAAGTACTAACCTCAAGCCAATTTTTTATTTCAAAGCTGGATTACTGCCTTAACTCCCTCTACCCATTTTTCTACCACTTATCTCAATGCTCTCTAACTGCGAGGATGTAACACAGAAACAAAGGACCAGGAAAAAGACAAGGCATTAAAGTATAAATGGTTCTAAATAGTTAATAGTTGGAAGGAAGAAAATTGTAACCTCCATTAATCAGAGGTAAAAACAGTGACAATAGGCTTCAGCTGGTTGTGCACCTATTTATTTTTAAGACACCAGAAAACATGCTTGAAAAGGTTTCACTCAGATGTGGCTTCAGACATGATTTAGAAGTTTTCTCACTTTGGAAACAATCAGATAGCATTTGAAGGGGAAAAAAAAGAGTTCACCTTTATGAGGACTGGCACTCCAGGCAAGAGACAGTCAAGAGTTGTAGATTGAACCCCCTTCTGTGTAAATTACTGCAATTTCTGTTTAATTTCACCATAAGTATGTTTGCTGCCAGTTCTTGAAACTTATCCATATGCTTTTAAAACTGCAGCTTGAAGCTCCAGGCCCTGAAGTCAAGAAAGGATATGAGAGTCTCATGTTCCATCATAAATAAAACTGATGCCTGACTTACGATTGTGAAGATAATGCTGAACATCAAAAATGTTCAGCTATCAAGAAAAAACACCCTATTCTGTCTCTTTTTAACTAACGATTTTTAAAGGCAAACTCATAAGGATGGTGTACCAACTTGTCCTCTGAACTGCTGGAGTGAGCAGTGCAGTAGACATGGGGCCATTATAAGTATGCAGACCCCTCAAGGCTGCATCCTTTATTTCTCACTCCAGCTGCTAGTGGGAGAAAAGATGGAAGATGCAAATGGCCAGTGCAAACAGCCAGGCTTGTGCCATCTCCTGCCTTGTGGGAAGTCTGGAAAGACTTGCTTTTCTGAGACTTCTTGGCCTGCCTAAAACAGGATTTGTCTTTGGGGTCCTCGAGCCTGAAGCAGTGAACTGCTGAGAGTGATGCATTTATTGCTTTGACCTATACATTGTCTGCTACTCTCCTTTGAAACGCTACAGCTTCACTTGTAAACTGTACTCTTGTCTCAGTAGCCTCTTGAGCTCTGAGCTGGATTCTGTTTCCTTTAACAAATCAGCCTCCTAGCCCCCATTTTAACATTAATTGATTGGAGATGCTTTTAACTGTTCCTTCTGGGTGTATTAATTTTTTACAGACTGAATTTGGTTTGATGAGGCAGGAAACCTGAAACTATTTCTGGCATCTCCTGCATACTCAGAATAACCACTCTAATGCATTCAGAGAAGCACACAGCAGCAGGGTGGTAACAGAGTAGGGCTGGTGAGGGGGGTAGGCAGATGAAGGGGAATAGAGGAGCCTAGTAGTCACCTATCCATTTCCAAAAAACACCAGTAAGTAATTGCTTACCCGTGTCATCTTTTATATTAAACATTTTTCCCAGCAACGCAGGTATTTCGATCCGGTTGGGGCTGCTGACATTAACAGATGTTAAATACACTCAGGAGAAATATGATCAAATGTTTGAAGTGTCTAGTAAATGTGCTGTTAGCTGCCCTCCCAGGGAGGCTTAGTGGAAGCTATTGTGTTTTGCTGAGAGAGAGAAAACCTGGAATATTAGACAAGGAATCCAAAGGCAATTTTATCAGCAGTGTTATGCAGCTCTGGAACACATAGCTAAAGGATTGGAAGCTTTTCTATTATAGCCATCTACTTGCTTGCTATTCTTAAATATTAAAATGCCATTTTACATTTTAAACCTTCCTAGTTGACATCTGTAAAGGACGCATATGCTCAACAGCATCAAGGGTTGCTATGCTCAACAACAATACCTGCTGATTCTGACACCGTAGCAAGGCTCTGGGCAGGGCTGGGCTTTGACACCCTATAAGACCAGACAAAGGCTTCACCCTTCCTGCTCACTCAAACAGAAGTGGGAGATACACTTGTTCAAACTCCTTTCTCATGTAACCTGCTCAGCTTAGCATGTTCAGTCCATAGATGAGGTCAACTTATTCCACTCCTAGTGAGATGCCCTGGATCATCAAATAGGCTTTATCCATCTCAGAGAGTGTTTTTTGTTTCCTCCAACAAAATTTGCCATCTTTTTAATTCCAAAGATGCAGCAAACCAGCAAACCCCATTATTACTGCTCCTGGAGCAAAGAACAGATGGGAAGACCATTGGCAGAGTAGGAAGAAGATCAGCCATTAGAAGTTGTGCAGAAAAACATCAGGAAAAAAGGCCATGAGAAGATATTCCCTGAAAGAACATCTTCCCACAGCAGCTATCTCTCCTCTGTTATTCAGCTTTTGTCTCATCAGAAAGTAGGAGATGCTGCTCCTTTCTCTTGGCACATGAGGGATACCGTGCCTGAGTCTGTGAGACCTCTGTTGGGCTGGGCAATGTAAACACTCCTTCACAGACATTTTCTCATCCTTAAAACAGCCTCTTAATCCAAGGTTATAAAAAAGAAACCAACTAAAAGTAAAAGGCCACTTGCTTTGGTAAAAAGCCAGGTCCCCCCTAGGGTGAAATGGTTGTAGATCACAAAAGACATCCCATTTATTAGTAATAAATAAACTACATAGATTAGTGACATACATAGTATTTTTCTGTCCTGGAAAGCATCCTCATTCTGTTAAAACTTCCCAATCAATATATCTAAATAATCCAAATGCAGCCATGTCTGAACTAGATACAGCCTGTCAAAACACTCCTCTTCAGCCAAAAGTTCAATTAAGCTGAACTGAAGGACCAGAAGTTTTTCTATTAAAGAAATCAAATGCCATGCTTCTGGTGTACAGCCACACCTTACCTGAGTTGTGCTGTCCCAGCCAGGGCACTAGGGTGCTCCTGAGACCCAGAGCTACACATCCAAATCACTCTTGTAGATAATTTGAATTCAGCCTTAATTCAGTCCTGCCCACCTTTCCAGCAGGCAGTGTTAGTGCCCTGCTAGGAAGGACCTGGACCATCCCGTCTGTCCAATCAAATGTGATGCTGCTCCAGGGGAAACAAGATACATGAGGACAGCAGGGTCTTGTATCGCACACTGGGGTCTCCAGGCACACTCACCCTGTAGCACCTGTACAGCACGATGTTCCCTTTCTTCCTCCTCCCAGTAACTCTGGGCTGAACAGCTGGGTTAGCCCAGAAGTACCTCAAGGCAGTGAACCATTGGTCTCATTTGGCAAGGCAAGCCCTAGGCCTCCTGTGTGTTAAAGCAGCACGCTTATTTTAAATTCAAACCTGCTGTCTTTTTCTACTCTTCTTTTCTATTGCTAAAAATGGTTTTATGACAGATCTTGATGGATATGAATTGTCTGCCATATGTTGTTTCCTTTCCTGACTGTTATCTCCATATGTCAAATGTACTTGGATCTGATGATCTCCATACAAATGATAACAAAACAAACAGACAAGGAGAGGCCAGACTACAGGGGAAACAGAATCCCAGTCAGAGAACTGAAATACCAGCAGACAGCCTTTGTACTGGAGAATGTATGGTTTATGTGCTGTCACTCAAAACCAGTGACTTGCTACTCCTTCCAGGCACTCCTCCACATTAGTTGCTCTCTGGCTGCTAAGGATGTGTTTGAGGGGAAATTTGCTGGGGATACAGCACCCTGTTTAGGATATACAGAATGTATCCTCGTGAATGAGAGTTGTTTTGCCTCCAGTATAACTAGTGCCAAGTTTTTATAACCTGTTTTTTCCTGGCAAACTGGGTAAGTTATCAGAAGTGCCTCAAGTGACTTAAACTTACCAGAGATTTGATCTCCTAAGTCCATTAGACTTTTAGGAAAATTGGATTCTTTTTCTCTTACAGTCATTACCTTTCTCTTTCATTTTGTCCTTATCACATTGACATTTTTTTCCTATGTCTTTGAGGCTCCTCCCATTCTCCAAGAGATCCAACAGCAAGGAGTATTTAAGAAAGAGAAGATCTTAAATACCTGATAATCCAAGATAGTGTAAAGTGGGAATCCTACCATGTTGTTCCAAACTACCTTTTCCCTATAGGCCACAGTTTGGATTTCTTAGACTAGATACAGGAATTCCTGCCCATCCTTCAGGCTGCTCCCGCCTGCAATCAGCATCTGTGAACAGGGGAGCTCTTGGGCTGGCCTTTTCATGTCTGTTGCAAAGAGGCTGGTGTCAGTGAGGACAGGTGAAGCCCTACTCTTACAGCAGTCCCATCTCTGTGTGGGAGCTTTCAGGCAACACAGATCCAGAGTCACATTGTGCAGCCCCTGTGACCATATTGCATTGCTGGAAAGGAATCATCTTTCCCATGAAAAGTATATCTGCAGCACTTCTCCCTTGCTCCTGTGCCCAAACTTTCTGCATAAGAGCAAGGAACAGTGTCTTTCTTCCTGGATGAATCTATAAGGAATTAAGTTCTTCTTTACAGGCCAAGGCAGATCTATGCAGTTCCTGAGAAAGAA